GGTTCAAAGGAATGTGATTCGTAGAATATAAGATAGTGGAGTTAGCTGTCCTCGCAACTAGTGCGTAGCCGAGTGGTAACGCCGCGCGAGCGAGCAGTATGCAGTGCCAGGTTTTCAACCACTACATGTAAGTAATATTTCATTCTCTCATTTTTAAGAACTACAGTTGCAATGAAAAATACAAACACGGTTACGTTCAGTTTTTATATTAATACAATCTAAATATAAAACAATGTAATACGTCTACACGATTCGTCCAGACATGTGACTCACTTTCGATTTTTCCTTCACAGTAATATTTCATAACAATCGTTCTTTGATATCAAGTAGACTGATAATGGAAACCGAACATAACGAACGAAACTCAACAAACCGAAATATTACTTACATACTAGTGCGTAGCCGAGTGGTAACGCCGCGCGAGCGAGCAGTATGCAGTGCCAGGTTTTCAAACACTATATGTAAGTAATATTTCGGTTTGTTCAGTTTCGTTCGTTATGTTCGGTTTCCATTATCAGTCTACTTGATATCAAAGAACGATTGATATGAAATATTACTGTGAAGGAAAAATCGAAAGTGAGTCACATGTCTGGACGAATCGTGTAGACGTATTACATTGTTTTATATTTAGATTGTATTAATATAAAAACTGAACGTAACCGTGTTTGTATTTTTCATTGCAACTGTAGTTCTTAAAAATGAGAGAATGAAATATTACTTACATGTAGTGGTTGAAAACCTGGCACTGCATACTGCTCGCTCGCGCGGCGTTACCACTCGGCTACGCACTAGTTGCGAGGACAGCTAACTCCACTGTCTTATATTCTACGAATCACATTCCTTTGAACCCAAGGGGTAATTTACCCTTCGAATGTATCGGATGGTACCTGATCGTATTCTTTTATTAATTTTAATCGTTAAAGTTCTTTAAGCCCAAGGAAGTCGTACAAAGCTGGTTTTAAAACGAGATTATACATAATTTTATTAAAGGGCTGTTACAACCCTTAAAATTCGTTTTTCGAAAAAACCAAAATATGCTTTTTTTGTATTGTTCTGGTCAATAAATTAACTAAGTTTCATTTGGATAGAGCAATTACTGCTCGCGTAAGGGGTAAAAGAAGTATTCAAAGGGGTGGCTCACCCCTTCAAATTGAATTTTTTCGAAAAATTCCAAATGCATGTTTCATAATTCTTCATTCCTTACATTTTGACGGTTGTTCCATGAAAATCGGTCGAGTGCTTCTATATGAAACAGTAAACTCACCCCCTTTCACGGCCAACTTTGAAGCCTGATTTCACCCCCTAAAAGTGTTTATCCGCCGATAAAAAAAAAAACACGGGTCCGTTAGATTTTGGTCCACTATAACATATTTAAAAATGAACAAAATCGGAGGGGGACACCTCAGGTACCTTCCTTGTAAGTGGAACGTAAAGGGAATTTAACGAGAATTACGCGAAGAAAATCACTCGAACAACCTCTCCGGAGGGAAAAACTTGAAATGATACGCGAAACTGTCGGTCCTGAGACCTTCGCGAAAGGAATCGGATCTACACTGATCATACGTAGAACACCTGAACAGGGAAAATAAAACATCACATACTGAACTAGCGAAGATACGAAAGGTTGCACCGTGCCGCTCGCTCCGAGCTACACGGGCCGTTCGGCCCAGAGGGATAACGAGAAAAGAGAGTTGCACGCACGCAACTGTTATCGCGAACAGCCCTATGGCAGCCTCGCGGCTTTTTCGCCCGTTGGTTCACCAACTCGAGATTTTTCTAACTACTTTTTACAAATCGCTAAACTTTTCGCGAAACAAGGAACTTACAACAGGACCAGAAGGATACGCGTGTCCCGGATGACCCAATTCGGGCCGCAGAAGGGAAGTCTAACTGCTTTAATCGTTTATTTCAAATTGCACCCTAAAATTAAGAAACCCAATTCCTCGTCGCGCGGTCGCATAGGAAACATGACCAAATTTCGAGAAAAGTTCAGGCTTCCCCGGGTTCCCACACCGACCCCTCTACTTCCTCCTCTTTCCTCGCGGATTTCCTCTATTATTAAACGGTCCTCGACCGAAAGAAACGAAAGGCAGTCGGGTCATCCCGCACGACTCGCCCACTAGAGCGCCTGCTCGATCGTCCCGCGCGACAAACCGGCCGTAGCAAAATCAAACCCTGCGGAATTACAAAAGACCACAGCCAAGTGAGTCCCCGATGGATTCGAACACACGCGACAGAAACTAGGGAAGGAAGGAGGACTACGCGCGGTGTGGCCCGGGCCCCTGTTATCCGGCGTGCCTTTCCGGATTACCGGCCCTCACTCATAATGGCGGTCCCCGGGAGCTCCTCGGGATCGGCGCCTTCCTGACTTGGGGTGGCTAAGGGACGGCGGCTTGCGTCACTAACTTCGACGCGGACTTTCCGCGGAGAAATTGGACGAAGACCGGGTCGCGGCTCGCACCCGGTTTTATAGTCTTCCCTCTCCTTGGCTTCTGCAATCTTCCACAGTGCCCTGTTGGCCTCATTTCGATTTCCGTGGGCCAATTAGCGGGCTCGGGTACTCGGACAAAGGTTCTCGGCCAACCCGCTCCCGGGATGGGGCGCCGCCGGCGCACGGTTGGCTCGCGCCGCGCCCGAGGACCAAGGCTGGCACCTGTGAGGGCTCCCCCACGGTCACGGTTTCCACGCCGATGGTGTTGAGGCCTGGCGTCCTGGTCCGTGGTGATGATCCCGGTTGACCTGGGGCTCGATCGGAGCCGTGGCCTCAAGTGTCCCTCCGCCGAGGAGTCGCCCCGGGTGTCCTTGGCGGTCCCCCATGCGCTACTTGACCTTTGTCCTCACGGTTCTTTTTGGCCCGTCCACCGCACCAATGGCCGCGGACGGGGACCTCGGGAACACAGAGACGCCTGTCTCGGCGGTGTTAGCGGTGTCCGAGATGTCGCAGGTGGTCTCCTGCCCGCCGGTCCGACTCCTGGCCGGGAAGTCGGAGCTCTCCCCGCGGGCGGGCCTCTTCACGACGCTGAGGCGAACTGAGGCCCTGCCCCCGCGGATCCATCATTTGGCGGCCTTTGCAAGTCCGTCCCCTGCGTTATCCTGATGGTCCGGAGGTGGGCAGGTGCCGCAAGTTGCCCTCGTACCCTGCGTTCCGGATGTTCCTCTGGGTGCCCCGTTACCGCCTCTCTAGCCGATGCCTCGACGACCCTGGCTGTTTGGGGTTGTCCCACGGCGATAGGTGGATTGTTATATAGTTTTTGGGCAGGCAACATGCGACACCGCCTTGCGCGGAACGAAAAAGAACTATACCTATTCCAGCCGGAAACTAATTGGATTTTTATAGAAAAAAAGATTTCTCTAGAATCTTGGAATCGCTTAATTCAAATATGACAACAGAATGCGAATTTCAAAATCAAAATGGTGGATCGAATATGGCGAATAATATAATTTTAAATGATTGGATTATTATAAAAAACGGTGTAACACGTTGACTGCCACGCGCATTTTATTTGACTGCTATGTCACCCGAATATGGGTGACGTGGCAGTCAACGTGTTAACGTGGTTTTAATAACTGCTTCATCCAAATCTGGTAACAGAATTTTGAAATTCACTATTGTGGATCCAATATGGCGGATAAAAATATATAAATGGTTGAATTTTGATAAAAATAAGATTATCACGGTAGTCGTGGTCGCTGAACTCAAATCTGATAACAAAATTCCGAAATTCAAAATAGCCGACAGGAAATTACAAAATTGTTACATTTAAAAAAAAAAAAAAACGGGTTATCCTAGATCTACGAAGTCGCTGAATCCAATTCTGGAAACAGAAATTAATCCTTTTCCCTCAAGAATTTTACCATTCTAGTTGCTTGCGGCGACTGAGTGTCGCCTTTCGAGTGCAAAGTGCAAAGGATTAATAATTGAAAATAGTCGCCCTTATATGGCGGATAAAAATATATAAATGGTTGGATTTTTATAAAAATGGGTTTCTCACGGTTTTTGTGGTCGCTAAATCCAAATTTGATACCAGAATTTCAAAATTTACATTGACCGATAAATTATGGTCCCTTAAAAAATGTTGAGGGTGTTAATATAAAAAAATATATTTATATATACTGCGTATACGAAAAATACATATTCATTCTATTATTGTTGGAAATTATATGTTTGTAGTAATTATATTTTGAAATGATAGGAATGTATCAGATACATTTGCCGATTTTATTATTAATAAGAGCGACATTAACATGTTTTTTACAAATAGTGAAATCCCCTCAAAACACCTTCGGTGCACAAACATTCAGCCAAATCCATTTTTCTATATTCAATTAATTGCAAAAATAGTTCAAATTGCTCATTTCCCATGAAAAGCTCAAATCAATTATTTTTTCCAACAATAACAGAACATTCATTCCATTAGTCTCAGCTAAAATCTTTTTGCCAAATGTCACAGTATATTTGGTTTCACGTATGTTGTATGTATAAGATTTCCTGCTTCCACAAACCAAAGACAAATATTAAAAACTATATCGACACAAATACAAAAATTAGAAACTAAATTTGAAAACAATATTTTATTTGGCGAGCACACGAGGTATTCTTCTAGCATATGATCATTTTGGTTCTAAGCTAATACAAAAATTGCAAAAAGGGTGATTTAAGCGGGGCAAGATTGCGGATGTACTTCTGAACCATTCGAGTTCAATGAGTAGTTCTACTAAAAATAAAATGTTAATGTGTGTTTTTACGTGATCAATTTTGGAAAAAAACATTCCTTCCTGGTTAAAACTGTTTACAAATTACATTGATTGAACTTTTTATCATAAACATGATTACTTATGAAAAATTTCGCTCGTAAACTTTCTTTAAACTAAGTATTTGAAAATCAAAAGAAAAACCAAAAGTTGGAGAAGAGATAGAATCGTTAGTGTAACGATGTCAGATGATCGTCCTGATGAAAATGTTCAAACTGCATAGGAAATAATTGCAAATATAGCAGTCGTCGATATAAAAAATCATCTTTTTTATTTTCATGGTAATAACGAAACGTTTTCAACTACAGTAATCTGACGGTTTATTGTAAGTAATATTTTTCTTATAATCAGAAGTAAATCAAAATTCAATACGGTTATTCTATATCAGTCTCTATAAATACAAATTCGCGATTACAAAATAAGGAATCTTCCCCCTCATTCGGAATTATTAGTTTACAGAATGGATGAACAGTGAAGGGCATTAGTGAATTAACTGCCCTTTCCAAGGTTTGACAATAGAATCGCTGCTCTTCTGTGCATATTAGTTTTTGAAATGTTGTTTGACCCATCAGCTTTTAATCTTCGAATTAAACACGAGATGATTCGTCTCCAGTATCAGCTGCCATTGCCTCACGATTTTCATATGCCCAAAAACCATGAAATTCTATTAGAATGCTGACCATAGTGTCACCTTGACCACTGTAACATAAAAATATAATACTAAATTAAAAATTGGTGCTAATAAAACATTTAAAATATCCAGTGCCCCAAAAAATGATGACATGTACTGATTAGAGTACCTTAATATAATACTGTAATGGTGTGCAGTTTTGGTCCGTGCCTAAACGCAACGAAAAATTGCATCCTTCGAGGGTTCGAGCCTCACGACTCCTGAGACCGAATGTAATTTAAATTGTATTATGTAAAAGAAAACGAGACTGGCGAGAGAGCGAGGAAAGCGTTTCACGAACGATCAGCTGAGCGCGTCAATATTACGGATTTCGGGAGGCCTGTCCGCGAGAACCGGTTCAAGTGAGTTTTTCTAAGACTAAACGCTCCGGCGCCGTTCTGTCTAAGTGAAATTTGGCAATGTAAATTACTGGGAAGGTTCTTAAATCTCCGACCTCTTTAATTTAATTAGGTGCAGTCCTAATTGGATTAAGGGGGTTTTTCCCTGACTCATGTGTTCGGATCAGGAGAGGAAAGGAAAGGAAATGATCATCAGTAAGAACGGCTTATTCCATCAACGGTGCGTTCTATTTGTTCATCATCGAATCGACAAAGGAATATGGAAACATGGGAGCAAAGGTTCTTTGGATAATTTTCTTTGGGGTAGGATTCAGATCGGACTTAATAACCGTCCTCGCGACTCTCCGCGTTTCCCCTTCCCTACGTCTCGAATTCTTACCGACACGTCTGATTTGAAACTCGGCCGCTGATAGGATCGAAATACAGAGTTGTTAACTTACAGCTTCAATGAGAAATTGGGACTTAATTCCGGTGGCTGATCAGCCCTACTTGAAATAATACTCTTCAATTAATTTGGACTCGCGGACTAAAATCACCTGCGGATTTATGTGTCTTTCAGAGTTATTCCCTCCGGGTTTTAGTATCACATAGACTATGTTATCCAGCTGCGGATATTGGCTGGGTTAAGGTTTTATGGAGTAGGAATTCCGATCTCAGTCGCAGCGTGTGATCTGGAGGACACGAAGGTAGGATTTTTGTACAGGATTTTAGTGAACTAGGATGTGGGTGTGGTTGCTATGCCAGGCCCACTGGAACACCGAACTTGAAAATAATCATATAAAAATCCATTCGTTCTTATCGAGATGCTTTATCCGCACTCGAATCGTGAGCGGCAATGCTCGGTCATTGAGTTTCGATGGATCTCTAAAGAACTCCCTCGTTCAGGTGACTGTCCGACTCGGATCGTGGGCAGCAATGTTCGGTCACCGAGGGACGAACAGTCTTCCAATGAGGTTATTTTCGCGGTTTTAGAGATGCCAAAAGAGAGTGATTATACTTAAATTTTAACTTTTCACTGCATGTCTTGTCTTAGCTGTATTGACTATTATTGCTACCGACGCTATCTTTCATTTATCGCTTAGTTTTATTTCTGTTTTAGTTCCTAGCCATATATTTCTTATTTTAAGTTTGTCTTAGGGTATTTAATTTAGACTACTTGATTTCCCATTTATTTTATTTTATTTTATATTGCATTCGATTATCTAATTAATTAATTTTTTTTATACGCTATCGCTTTTCCTAACTTTATATCTTCGTGTTTCTTCTTCCTAGGATTTTCTACATTCGTTAATTTATTCCTTACTTTTATTTTGGTTTATATTGTGTTGTATTACGTCGTATATGTTATATTATTCTACCCTGGGTATACCGCCCGCTGATTTAATTCTAGTGCCTCTTTTACTTTGCATATCTATGGTTAAACTTTCATTCGTGGTTGTAGTTCACACCTTAACTGATTTCCTCAGTTATTTTAACGTTTAATTTTCGCGACCATTCGAACCATTTCAACCCCCCCCGGTCACTTTTAATCTCATCTGCTTCGTTTAGTCTTTTCATATAGGTTTTATCCCCTCCAGTGCCGATTTCGAGTTAGTTCGAATTACACTTTCACTTAATTTTGCTATTTTACGTTATTCGTCGCGCTCTTAATGTATCCCGATTTATTTAACCGGCTAATCCGTTTTTGATCCGATTTTGATCACCGGCGCCTCCAATTTTATAGGATATCCATGGGAAAATCCGTTTCGATTTGAAGCCGCGATGTTGATACCTGATCCACATGTGTGCCCTTGTGCATCTTCTATTTTTGTTATTTTCTCGCGATTTGATTTCACAACGGCCCTAACCTCTATCATGTTATTCCCTAATCGTTCGACTACCTCAAGAGCATGATTAAATGCCGAGTAATTGACCCTAACCTTGTCCACAACCTCATGCAGCTTTTAAGTTTTGATTTCTAATTGTTCTGTATGTAACGCTTCGATACGCTCCTGATATTTCCTGTAATCTGTCGCATATTTTTCCTGGAGCTCTTTGAATCTCCCATCGCAACTCCTAATTTTTTCATTTTGAGACGCGAATCTTGCGATTTTGCTCAGCTGTTCGCATTTCTTGCGCTAAGTTCTTTGTACGAAGGGCAGTACTGGCCACGAGACCTGAGTCGACCGTTATAGCATACGTATCATTAATCGGCGAATTGCTAAGATTAACTTCTTTATCCTGACCGGTAGCCATTTTATCGCAGAATTTTGTTCTTAATTTTAATTTTTATTTGCTTGATTTTTGAGGGCTGATCGCTGCGATCTCCCACTCTGCAGTCGCCAGCCCCACGTTGGGCGCCAATTGGAATGGTATGCAGTTTTGGTTCGTGCCTAATGCAACGAAAAACTGCATCCTTCGAGGGTTCAAGCCTCACGTCTCCTGATACCGAAATTAATTTAAATCTAGGATCAAATTTCAAGTGTCAGGATTAGCATAAACGGTTGATTTATTAATAAAAAAATTAATATAAAGAAATTGAATATATTGAAGAGTACGTCTTAAAGATCTCAGAAAAAGGGACTTGATTTTCCCTACGACTTCGCTCGAGCTCTCCTCAGTCAGAACTAACTCCCATTCGATCATTCTCATCCAGCCTCACTCTAACTTCTTTCTCACTCAATTCATATTCCTCACTCTCTCATTCCCACACTCATCAATAAATTTCTTTGTGCAGCAAAAATCTCACTCACTGAGTCATACGGCCGCTCGCACTTCACGAACTCTCAACCACGCATAAACAGTATCACCTATCGAGCTGTCATTTAATCTAAATACTTCTCATTTCACCCCACAATCATACAAACATTACATTTCACTCTAACTTCTAGTTAGTCTTATTCTTAATCTTTATTGCCTTATTGGCGACACAACTATTCGTATAGCTAAACGCTTTAATTTTTTTTATTCTATTAACTTTATTGGACTGCACAGGGCACTGACACAACATAAATTCTAGTCTGTAAATGAACGAGACTGGCGAGACAGCGAGGAGAGCGTTTTACGAACGATCAGCCGAGCGCGTCAATATTACGGATTTTGGGAGGCCTGTCCGCGAGAACCGGTTCGAGCGAATTTTTCTAAGACTAAGCGCTCTGGCGCCGTCCTGTCTAAGTGCAATTTGACCGAGAATCATTTCCTTTCGTTTCCTCTCCCGATCCGAGCAGGTGGGTCAGGGGAAAATCCCCTTAATCCAATTAGGACTGCACCTAATTAAATTAAAGAGGCCGGGAATTCAAAAACCTTCCCAGGAATTTAAATCGCCAAATTTCATTCAGACAGGACGGCGCCGGAGCGCTCAGTCTTAGAAACACTCGCTCGAACTGGTTCTGGCGGACAGGCCTTCCGAAATCCGTAATATTGATGCGCTCAGCTGATCGTTCGTGAAACGCTCTCCTCGCTCTCTCGCCAGTCTCGTTTTCTTTTACATATTAGAATTTAAATTAATTTCGGTCTCAGGAGTCTCTGAGGCTCGAACCCTGGAAGGATGCTGCTTTTCGTTGCATTACGCACGGACCAAAACTGCATTCCATTACAATACCTTATAGTATAATATATTATATTACTTCATGTGTTACGACTCGATGCAGTCTAGTTAAAAATCTAGATTTTAAAGTTAAAATAAAATCGGGTTCAGAGAAACCGAGCCCTGCACCGGGAAGAAGTAAAGTGCAGAGCTAGCATTCCAGAGGTGTGCACGGGCTAGCGCTGGCTGAAGTCCCCGCGACGTCGGAAAGTCCCCGGGCGCGAAACCCCGCGTCAGCACCAGGAGGCGCTACCGAGCTCTAGAAAACCGAAGACGCAGCAAAAGGTGGACCCCACCATGGAGGGCTCTAGCTCCTACTCCTTGATCTGGAGGCTGCGGAAAACCTGGAGCTCGGCCGGGAACGCACTCCGTTTTGAATTTTGGAGCGTTTAGCATCCGCAATCTAAGAAGAAGCCGACGAGCAGAGTGAGGAAGGGAATTGACAAATAGCACTCAGGCTATTCGGAAGGCATCAGAAACCAGAGGCCCAGCACCGGATCCTTTTTTCCCCCGAAACTCCAATCACCAAAGGTTAACATTGAAGCAATTTTCAATTTCAACTGTTACGTAGGTACCTTCCGTACCCTAAAATAGGGAAAAATCCTATTTTTTCATTAACCGGAGTCAGCCATGGAAATCCGAGTACAGAAACGCGAATCTCTTGCGAAAGAATCCAACGAGTTCACCGGCCAAAAGGCTCCAAAAGTCATCGGCCGACCCGGGGCAAACAACCTGAGGACTCCGCAACGCATCAGCACGACTCCGAAGTCCACCCTCACCTGCGCCCTAGGAAACCCCCACCAATTGGAATATCCTGCTAATAAAACCAGCAGTCCGATCAGAAGTCGGGGGAGTCAGTCTTTTAGTCAATTTGTGATAAGTCAACGTCAGTCGTCATCGAACCCGGTACTCCGTTCCTAGCGAGTCAGAGACCGAGACCATTGGACTCCCTGCCAAAGACTACTATCCTGCGAGCTGCAGTAGCGCCATCCGGTACTCCAGCGATCCAGCCACCGAGTCAGGACTAGACGGCGGTACTGCGACGTCCGTTGGACGGGAGGCTTCTAGGAGACCTCCAACCCTAGGGTACGCCACGGGACGAAGG